CAGCCTTTATTATATATACGCGTTGAAAGACCAAAAAACATCTTCCGGTAACCTTGATCTTTCTCTTTCTCTCTTCTCTCTCTCTTTTCTGAAGTACGTGTACTTGAGTTTATGTATAATATAATAGTTGCCCGCAATTATCGTCTATATACAGGCACGCTCGGCGCGCGTGATGTGCCCGCCCGGCGCATTTTACTATATCTCTCCCTCGAAGCAGCTCGCACAGAAATATATAGACAACAATATAATTGACTAAATTTCCGCCCGTCATCTTTGCAAGAGTCGAACGAATTTTTAATTTTTACGCGCATCGCGAAACAATGAAAAATCAAGAGTCGACTGCCGCCACCGCCACCGCGCGGTCGAGCGATCGATTAATCACGCACGCGTTGTGTCGAGGCATCAATCACGCTCAGCGTCAGCGTGTTATATATTCAATGACTTAAAAATAAGTTAGAATTCCGGCAAAGTATTATATTTTTATTTTTCCTTATCATAACTGTAATATATTTTTTTTTAATCCGCTTGTTCTCTTATTTTGATGGATAGTCATTATCTAACTTTAACCGAAAGAACATTGTGCAAATACGAAATTAGTCACAGTTGCAGTTAACTGTTTGAGTAAAAAAATTTAAGGTAATGAATAATGATTTTTTAATGAGAACATTATAACGCAATGCGCGATCGGGCATAGTTAATATCACATGTTTAATAACTTATAAATAAGTTTGGATTCCGGCAAAGTATTGTATTATTTTCATGATTTTATATTAGCAACAACAGAACTTCAATATCAACGTGACCGATTCATTGTAAAGTTTTACGATTCGAGTATAACAAGTATTAAAACATCAAAATAATCGTCAAAGATGTACTTACAATTATTAGCTACAGTTACAACAATTACGAAGATAATTCAATAAAATATTAAAATATCGAAATAATCGTCAAAGATTTATTGTGTGCATATTGTTTACCCATTAACCATGTAAAAATTCTTAGTCAATGGTTAATCTTCTATTACTACAATAATACTTTCGTACATGTGCATTCAGACTTTCAGTACGAAATATCACTTTGCGTGCCCAGAGCTTTTTGGCTACCAAGTGTTGTCACGACATCTATTTAAATCAAATCTATAATCATATCATATCTAGCTATTCAGATAGAAATTCAGATTTTGCTCATAATTTTATATGACTGATAACTGACATTTACTCATATTTAACTATAACCTTTGATTAATTCGCTGCATAAAATATAATTTATTTAAAATTTGGATAGTATTTGATAAAAATTACATGAATCGTTTGAAAATGTATATTTTCTAGTATTTTAGAAATTCAGATTTTGCTCATAATTTTATATGACTGATAACTG